AAGTTGCCCAGGCTGGTCTCAAATATGTGACCCCCATGCCTCAGCCTCCTCAGTGGCTGAGATCACAGGCATGTACCACTGCACCAGGTTCCTGAACACCTTTGGTCTTAAACCTAAGTCCACCTGCTTGCTCTCAGCACCTCTATTTTCTGGCTTTCTGTGCTAACCACACCAGGAATCTTTTTCAATTTATGGAACATTTCCCCAAACATGATCTCTGCTAAGCCCCAAACCACCTCCTAAAGTGGTTACTTTCCAATGTCCAGAGGTCAGCAGGAATGTGGGCTCAGCCAGACTGACTGGCCTGCCCAGGATTCCCCATCAGATCCCATCTCGCCCTTCCTGCCTGCCCTCAGTGGGGTACTAACATCCTCCTTACACAGACAGGGCACTGAGGCTCAGAGGGGCAACATCACCCTGCCAAAACCGGCCAGCAAAGCAGTGAAGCCAGGCCTCAAAGCCAGGTCACTGGCTTCTAGGTTTTGCACTCTTCCCAGAGAGTCCCCTGATCCTTTGGGGGAAACTTCTGCTAAAACCAGGGCTGACCAGCCTGGCCTGAGCCTCGTTGAGGAGAAGCCCAAAATTTTGGTCAGAAATTTTCTGCAATTAGGAGAAGGAGCCTGCTGCAGGGAGGAGGGGGAGGGGCTGGATGCTTAGCTTCCATGGATAAAGCCCAGGGAGGGGTGAGGGGAAGCCCAAGCCTCCCAGCAGCTGGGAGGAACTCTGGAATCAGGCAGAGGAAACCAGATCCCCAACAGCACTGGCAGGCACAGCCTCTGGGGTTGAGCCCAAGAGCCTGAAGTCCCTCTCCTTTAACAGCTACCTTCTAGAAGCCTGGCCTCCACCAACCTGGCCCCAGGGCCCAGGATTTCTGCTGCCCCAGTTTCTGGCGGCTGGGAGAGGAAGGAGTGCCCATCTCAGCCTAGGCCTGGCATCTTCTCTCCTCCCCCCCAGCTCCCACCTTGTCTGCTGCTCCCTCCATTTTGTCTTTCTGTCCCTTTTACCATATTGCTGAATACCAGAGGTCCCTCAAGGAATGACAATCATTCCCTGACCCTGAGGAGTCACATCTCTTTGGAGGAAATGCATAGTGGACCATATTCATGCAGTATGGCCAGGGCAATCTGCCCTGGTCAGGGGAGGCAAGCCTGACCCCAGACTGGGAGCCCAGAAGGGATCCTGGGAAGACCCTCTGAAAGTGGAGATGATGCTACTTGCCCAGCTGGATTTTGGAGGTATTAGGAATATTTCACAGGAAGAGGCCTTGGGTGGAGGATTCACCAGTGTAAGCGCAAAGGGCTAAGGACTTCTGTCTGGTTTATTACTCAGGGCCTAGGAGAGGGCTTGGCACATAGTAGGTGTTCATTAAACAGGTCCTAAAAGAAAGAGAAAAAGAACAAGAACGGAAGAGAGAGACACACACAGAGAGGGAAGGAGGAGAAAGGGAGAAACAGGAAGACAGGGAATATGAGTCTAGAGTGGATGTGTGAAATGACTTGGTCATTCTGGGAATTGAAAATACAAATAGAGATATGAAAAATGGTGATATATATGTGTATTAAGAGTTGTAATGCAAAAAAAAAAAAAAAAAACAAGAGTACATGTATAGTGGCATAAGTTGGCGTGAACATAGTGTATGTAAAGAGATACAAAAAATAAAAAAATAGTGCTCTCTATGTGTAATAAGGAATGTAATGAAAAAATAAATAAAATAAAAAAGAAAATACAGTCGTTCCAGGTGGCTGTGGCTCAGATGGGTGGGGCTGAGTGGAGGTAGTGACACTATCTAATCCTATTGTGGGTGGTGTCTGTTTCTTATCTCCCCACAAAGACCAGAGCTACTTGGGGGATGGGCTGATTCCCACCTCCACCCCCAAAGCCCCTCCCTGGGACTCCTAGTACCTATGAGTGTCAATATGCACACAGGTATCAAACTCTTGCTGGGTTTGGGAGATACACAGATGACTCAGACTTGGATCCTGCTGTCCTCTGTGGTGGGGGAGACAGACAGTAAACAGCTGGCTACATAATTGGCAGAATGGATGGACAGCTACTATGCAAGTTCAAACAAAATGAATCAAAAGCGAAGGTGACAGAGGGATGAGTTTTGCTCCAGGAGAAGCAGGGAAGATTTCAGAAGATGGCTTTGGAGGGGATGTTAGCCTTAAAGAATGATGTAGAGCTGGACCTGGGGGGGCACACGCCTGCAATCCTAGGAGGCTGAGGCCGGAGGATTGCAGGTTTGAGGCCAGCTTGGTATCTTAGTGAGACTCTATTTCAAGATGAAAAAAGGGTTTGGGGATGTATCTCAGTAATAAAGTACTCCTGCATTCAATCCCCAGTACCTTGGAAAAGAAAATGGTGAAATGGCGAGGGAAGGGGTTGGGGACTAAGGACATCAGGCCAAAGATTTAGTTCAGGGGAAGTGGGGACTGGGGGTTCTAGCAGGATAAGGTAGACTGGGGTCTGGACTTGGGTGCTTGGACTTGCTTCTGATCTCACCACAATGGATTACTATGCCAGCAGCCACACACCTTGTTGGGGCTGCATGGTGGTCCTGCTTCCAGGGAACCCATCAGCTTTCTCTGGTCAATATGCAGGGAGGTTAAGACACCTTCCTGCTTGAGCCCCCACCCCCCCATCCTGTTTTAGCTCCACCAAGAACCCACATGGGGCCTCATTCTGTGTCAAGCCCCAGCAAAGGGCAGACCACAGGAATTAAGTGCCTGGCACAGGGTTCCCCAATATCCACCCTTCCTCCCCTCATACTCTCAAAAAAGGGGCTAGTTCTTTTGGACAGGGCCAAGAGAAAAAGAAAGAAGGGAAATCTTAGCCCTCAGAACCTCCATCTTCTACCCTACTTTGTCATTGGACAGGCAAGGAAACTGACAGTGCAGATGGCCCCTCCCAGATAAGGTATGGCCAACCTGGGAGACACTGCCTCTGTAAGTGGGCTCCAGAGGGAGGGCAGTGCTTTCCCTCAGTCAGAACCCAGCAGATCCTCAATCGTCTGTGGGCCTTGCAGACACAAGATGAGTCAGGCATCTTGTGAGTCAGTGTGTTGACAAGCCATCCCTGGCCATTCCTAGTCCATCAAAAACAGAAGGAAGTCCAGGGAAAGGGCATAAGCAGGCCGATTTCATTAGTGTGGGCTCTCAGGCACCTTAAGTTGGCTCTATTAAATTAAACCGCCTAAGGGAAAAAATAACTGTAATTATTTCCTTCTCTCCCCTATCATGGTATTTCAACTCCCAATCTCCATGCTTCTTCCCTCATTGATAAAATAACCTTAAACTAGGGGCTAGAACAGAGACAACCCAAAACTAGGGTTCAATGTTTCCCTTTTTCTTCCCTCTTCCCCTCCGTGAGCTCTGGGTCTTTGGCTGAGCGGAGTGAATCCAGAGGTGTCCATAGGGCCTGGCTCTATTTTAATTTAGGGAGGCTGTTAGACTGAGCAGAACATTATTCCAAAAATGTACCCAGAGTCTCCTTCCTGAACCAATGCAGATCAGTTTGCTGCGGGGCATTTCTTATAAAAGCCCCTTTTCTCTCTTCTACAGAGCAAAATAAGCAAACTTTAATGGTAGGGAATTATTGTTTATTTTGTTGAAATCTAGTTCTGAGTTTTTCTACTTGAAACGTGTTTTCCCCAGGACACTGACCTATCCTTTAATTGTTTGGTGCGAGGCATGTTAGGGGGAGGGGCGTTAGTTGTTTATTGGAACAGCGCAGTTAAAAAAAAAAATCAACCTAGGCTAACAGTTTCAAGGCTCCCCTAAAGATGTATCCAAACAGGCAGCCAATCAGCGCTTACACAGCTTTTTCTGCTTGACTCTTTTAAAGAGACAGTGCCGATAGTGTTTTATCACATTTAAAGAGAACAGCGCTCTAAAAACAGCCCCGAAAATTGGGGAGCCTTCCCCTATTTCGCCGGTTTCTCGTTTTAAGGGTCTCTAATGAGGGTCACTTAACGTATTCTCGTGGGCAGAAAGGAGTCTGTAGCAAAGAGCTGGGTCACTCTGCCAGCCCCCGTCTCAATTTCCCATTGTACACCTGGGTCACTGACAATGGAAGCTTCCCCTCCCCCCACGCCCGACTCTCACCCCCCCCACTCCCCAATTTAGCTTCATTTATTTGAAGTTTGCAGATCTCTGCGGTACGCATTCGGAGTCGCGGGGCGCCCAGGTGACGTCCCCTCGTCCCCCCAGCCCCGAACGGCACCTTTCCTGGTGGAGAAGCCGAGGGGCTAACTTGCCTGGGCTGGCAAATCTTGGAAATTTGGGAGAAATCACTCAGCCTCCCTTTAGACTAAGTCTCCCGTCCCCTCCCCCCAGGATCCCCAAAGCACGCCAAGGGCCATTTTCGCGCGGCTCCACTTTGGGGTTTTCCAAAGTATTTTAATGATCTAGTAAAGGAGCAGCCGCGCGTCTCGGCGCCGGCTCCAGCGCCCAGCTCCCAGCGTGGAGCCCGGCCCGGCGCTCGAAAGCCAGGCTAGGCGCTAGGGGCCAGGGGGGCGGGGCGGCGGGCCGGGCTGGGTCTGGGGAGGGGTCGGGGTCGGACCTGGTGGGGGGGGCACGAGATAAGGGTAGGGCGGGCGCCGGCCGCGGCGGGGTGGCAAGGCCGATAAGCGGAGGGCCGCGCAGGAGGGGCGAGCGCGCTCCGTTGGGGTCCGAGCCCCCTCCCCTCGGACGCCGTCGTAGCGCCCCCTGCCCCCGGGGTGTGCGGGGGGGAGCGCTGGCCAGACTCCCAGCGCCGGGAGCCCCAGCGCCCCCGCCCGGCCCGCACAGCCCCCGCTGGTCCACAGAGCCGAGGCTCGCCCCCGTACACCCCCGGCCGGGCGCAGGAGCGGCCGCAGCTCGTGGAGGCGGCGCAGCGGGACTGCCGCGGCCGGCGCTGACAGGGCGTCCCTGCCGGCCGCCCGGGCCCACCCCCGCGCGCCGATTGGCCGAGGCGGCCGTCCGTCGCGGGGCGTTGCCGCCCGCCGCGCTCCCTGCCCGGGCAGCCACGTTCGGTTGAGCTCCAAGTAGACCAGCGGCGGCGGCGGCAGCGGCAGCGGTGCCGGAGGCGCAGAGGGCGGCGCAGGCGGAGCCGGGCGGCGGGCGCGCGGGCGGTTGGGCGAGCGAGCGAGCGAGCGGCGGGCAGCCGGGCGGCGGCGGCACAGCGCAGGCCGAGCCGGCGCGGGAGGAGTTCCAGGGCGATGGGGCCGCGGCCGGGGCTGACGCTTTGACAGCTGGAAAGAGCGCGGAGCCAGCGCCGGGGGGGAGGGAGGGAGCGCGGCGAGCGGAGCGCGAGCGAGCGAGCGCCGGGAGGGGGCCAGGAGCAGGGCAGCTCGGCAGAACCGGACGGTAGCGGCGGCGGCGGCGGGGCTCGGCGCCCTCTTCTCTGCAAACCATGTTTGCCAAAGGCAAAGGCTCGGCGGTGCCCTCGGACGGGCAGGCTCGGGAAAAGTAAGCCCCCTTGCGAGTGGCGGCCGCGCGCCCCCAGGCTGCGGGCGGGCGGGTGGTGGGAGGCAGGTGGGCGGGCGGGGGTCTGGGGGCTGCTAGTCCTCCGGCCGCGGGGCTCCGCTTGCCTGCCCGGCCCCTTCCCCTGGTCGCAGCGAGGGAGAGCCCATTGTTGGGAGCCGGCGGAGGTTGGGGCACCCGGGAAGGGGCGGCGGGGCTAGCCGCTGGCCAGGGGTACTTGGTGGCCTCGCGGCCGTCGGGGCGCCCGCGGTGCGGGGTGGGCGAGGTCCCGCAGCGAGTCGGCGCGCTCGCCCCAGCCCAGGCGCTTGTCGCGGAGGCTGCACTTAGCCCATCCGGATCGGGCAGGGGGCGCGTGGCTTCTGCAGCCCCGAAGACTCCTTTTGTCCGCCCGCGGCGTGAGGAGTGCGTGCCGGGGGCTTTGTTCGGCCGGGAGCGCTCTCCCTTCCCAGCCCGCGGCCTTGCCGCCGGCTCCGTGCCCTCCGGGGCGCGGACTGGGCAGGGACAGCGGCGCCGGTTTGGCCCCAGGCTTGGGGGGACAGTTGTTTGCGGGGAGGTGATGAGGGCGGCCCTTTGCTGCCCTCTCCAGAGCGCGCGGAGCACCCGGACTAGGGCTGAGTTCGCTCGGACCCCCAAACTGGGGTGAGGGTGCTAACAGGAGTGGATAAGGAAAAGGAGGTTGGGTCGGGTGACCTGCGAGTTTGAGACTTAGATGGGTTTGGCCCCGACACCACTTGGAAGTTCAAGTTTGGGGGCCGCTCTCCAGCCCCTGTGGTTTGAGGCAGCCGGTCCCTGGTACCCTCCCCCTAACTGTTAGCCTGGCGGCCCTGCCTGGGGTGTTAGCTGCTCACCTTTGGTGGGGGCCACATGGGGACAGCACAGTCGGGACTCAGAGCCTACTGGCAAGGTCCGGAGAGTACCCGGTGTGTTTTGACCCATTCCTCTCACTTTGCCCCCTTCCAGGTTAGCTTTATACGTCTACGAATATTTACTGCACGTAGGAGCACAGAAATCTGCACAGACCTTCTTATCAGAGGTGAGTGGGACTCCCCCAGCATCCAGTTTCTTGACACCCCCTCCTCCCCACTATTCTTAGAGCCTTTGTTTTCAGGAGCAGCCACTGTGGCCACCATTTTGAATTTTTATCACCTTTTGGCATTTATTGTTGGTGGGTCTTCACAGCCTTTTGGCTCTGGGAAGCCCCCCGCCTGCCCTCCTCTCTGCTTCTCTAAGCTGCCTCTGCTTCCTCTTTTCCAGATTCGATGGGAAAAAAACATCACGCTGGGAGAACCACCTGGGTTTTTGCACTCCTGGTGGTGGTAAGTTTGTGTGATAGTTTTGAGTGTGTGTGTTTTGTTCTGAGCCCTGGGTCCAAGCAAACAAAGACCAGAGGCTTGAAACAGGCCCTCCACCTTTACTTTACACAGAGCAGGGCACTTCTGGGTGCCTGGACCAGGTCTGGCCAAAGAGGAAAGGGCCGAAGAAGCTGCTGCCTAAAAGTTTTTTCCTGGTGTTTCCCCTCCTCTAGAAAACCAACTAATCTTATGGACTGGGGTAGAAACTTCTTGTTTTTCCATCCCACTCTGGGGCACTAGGCAGGGGCTTGAAAAATCCTTGAAGGGTTTTTGTCAGTCCTGCATGCTGCTTTAATTAGAGAGGAGTGGGGGCAGGGCTGAGTGGGGACACCAGGTCTGTTCTACAACTGGTCTGTCCTTTCTTTTTCTTCTATAAGCTCCAAACCATAAGAGGGACATCTCCTGGTCTTTTCCACACACTCTGAGAAAAAGCAAGAAAGAGTTGCCACTTCCTGTAATGATACTGATTCAGACTGACTGGACCTTCCTGTCCTCTGTGCCATCCCCCACCCCCAGCATCCCTGAACCCACAAAGCTTTATTTTACCAAGAACTTTAACTGCCTAGAGGTGACCTGGTGCTCTCTCCTTATCTGTGACCCTCTCTTCAGGCTTGTGGGTCTTACTGCTCTGAGACCACAGCAGTCTGGTCTCAGCATGGGATTCGTGGCAGGCAGGAGGGAGGCTTAAGGGTCAAAAGTAGCAAGTTGTCATGTGTGTGTGACCTGTGTGTTTTGTGGGACTGATTGGTGGAGTCTTTGACATCCTTTTGAAAAGGAAAAGAAAGCAGAGTGGCTTTTGATATTTTGGTGGAGTTCAGGAAAACGGAATGTCTCCTGGTTGGGATCTTAGCACATTTACCTGACCGCCGGCTCGGGTTACTGTTTCAAGTCTCTTTGAACAGTGGGAGGATGAAGTGTCTGTTCTAACTTGTGCAGAGAAAATGAGTTTTTAATTACTTCTGCCAACCTCCCAACTGCCGGTGTTGAAGGCGTCTGATGTGGCGTAAGGATTCCACCTGTAGGAGCGGGTGATAGGTTGGCTGCGGTTGTTTTTCGAGGGGAGTGTGTGGATGGGGTTGGTGGGTCTGGCTGCCTGGATCTTGTAGAAACTTAAGCTTTTGAGTGAAAGTTAACTTAAAGGGTCTGGAAATTTGGAGTCTTGAAGACCTTTTATGTTTGGAGGAGTTTAATCCAAGGTGCAGTTCCAGAAGGCTGGAAAGGGCTTTCTATAGCCGCCACTCCTGCCCTGTAGCCGTAGAAGTCCCCAGTTTTCTGTTATATCCAGAATCCCTGAAGCTTCTCCATCCTTGTCTCAGCCGCAGGAATGTGGAGTCTGTTGTTCTGGGCTCAGGTTGTGGTAGCTCTGAGTGGCTGTGGTCTGGTTTGTTAAAAGTCGCCTCCTGCGATTTGACACTGAGCAAAAGACCACGGCTTTCTGGAGCCAGAGGAAGCAGTGGAGCTGGTCTGATGGGGGCAGGCTGCATGTATTCACACACCTTAAGTGAGATGCTTGTCTGGTGATTGGAGCTGGCTCTGAGGGGCGCAGGAGCACTGAATTGTGAGTCAGACCTTGATTCTGTTGTCCACTGTACCCTTCAAGCTGGTTCTGTCCCAGGCCTTGGCTCCTGGTCTAGAATGTTTCTAAGGCCCTTTGTTAATACCAGTGACTATGCTGTGTTCATATAGCATTCTCTTGGTTTGCAGAGGACTTGTGTGTGTTCACAGTTCATACCAAGTGTTGGAGGGATCATATAGAATCACAAGGTTGGGGTGGCCGTTCTGGGTCTGCTCTCCCCTCCACAGTCCTTACTGAATGGACGCTCTCTGAAGAGGGCCCCGAGTTTCATGGAGATGCTTGGCTGTCCACAGCCTCCCCTTGGTCTGACATGTGTTTTTTGGTGGGTGAGAGAAGTAGGGGTGTGGGCTCTGGGATTAAGAATCTGTGAGGTTCCCTAAGTTGACATAATTGCAGATTGCTATGCATGTGAATCATAGTTGTATGTTTTGGCAATTTAGCCTTTTTATAGTATGTGGCCATTTTGTTTTGGGATGGTAAAAGGGACACAGATGGGACAGGCATGGATTCCCCAGATTCCTACCTTGTGATATACCATGGGTGGGTTGGGCTAATCCTCCAAGCTTTAGTGGTTCCAGTAGGGAGAGGATCACTTCGTTTATAGTACATGGTAGCCATGGGCAGTATCATCAGCATGAGGCGTGCCGTTCATAGTAGGCGCGTGGTAGGTGGGAACTATTATTCTTATTACAAATGTCTGTCTTGCCAGAAAGCTCGGGTCTGTTCTGTTTTCTAGGCTTGAGTTTGCCCAGCGAAAGTGGGAAGGTGGAGTAGAGCCTGGAGGAGACCTGGAGCTGTTAGCATTGAGCATTGTGCACTTTCTGTTGTATACAGAAGTAACAATTAGTAACCTGATCTTATTTTATTTTTCGACTTGCAGCGTATTTTGGGACCTTTACTGTGCAGCTCCTGAAAGGAGAGACACTTGTGAACATTCGAGTGAAGCAAAAGCCTTTCATGATTACGTGAGTAACAAATCTTTAATCCTGGCAATAATTACAGGGTTGGATAGCTCTAACTTCTTCAGTACCAAAAGCAAATATACAGCCAATTGGCAGTGGTCTTTATTTTCTCCTTGCCTTTCTTTTCCTTCTCCTGCCCACCCACCTCCCTGCTGCCCTCCCCTCGTACCCCCCTCCCGCCGTGTTCTAACTTGGTGAGTGGTATTTCATTATGTTGTAATTATGCAAAAGAATGTAGATACCTATCTGGAGAATTGAACGATGTTGTGCAGGGCTTAGCAGGGCTCAGATCGTGTGAGGTTTGTGTGAAGAGTAGACAGTTAGCCAGGAGGAAACTGAGCAGGTTTGATGTTGGCCTAAGAGAAAAATCAGCACAACCAAAAAATAAAAAGCAAATATGAAACTTGGAATGGAAAGGTTGGTTGAATGGGTACTCTATTTTCCAGAGAGTGATCTTTCAAATTTTGGAGGGTGCAGGTATGTGTGTGGTGGGTGAGGCTCAGGTTGTATATACTAAGATGATGTGTAGTCTGGGGCACTCAACTATTCCATAATCCTGTGCCCAAAATGTTCTTGTGAACTAATTAATTTGATCAGGTTGTGGTACCTTCTACCCTAACATTCACATTTTACCCTTGGATGAGTTTCTTTAGATTTGTGAACTTATTATATGAGAGATGTCTGCCTTTTGTCCATCTCCCATGGTAATCTCCTTCAAAAAAAAAAGACTTCAGATCTGGGTAGGGTTGGTGTCATGTTTTGCGATCTCATGAAATAAGTTAGGATCTGTTAGAAAACAGAAAAAGAAGTGTCTGAAGGTCTTCCTTGGCCTCCTTTCAGTTCTTACTTCTCGCTGGATGTACATGGTTGAATGTTTGTGTGCATGTGTGTGCACATGGTAGGGGATCTGTTGGATCTTTGCACTTTGGTATGAGATGGATAGGAATGGTCCCTATGCTCTGAGCATGGAAGCTGGTTTCTTGAAGGTCGTCAGGTCCCATCTGCTTGTCCAGACCATCTGTATCCCCTGTATGCAGTTTGAAATTGGCATAAGAGGACAGATCCCATCTGGATGAGTTTCACAGGTGGTCAAATCCCAATGTCATAAATATTGTCATGGTGGAAATTTCTCCTGTAGTAGGAGTTAGGGACTGAGCTGGAGGCTTGCTGGTTTTTAGCATATTCAATGTGATGGAATTTTGTTATGACTGAAAAGTTAATGCCTATGGAGTGGAATGCTGAGGAAATTGACTGGTTCTTGTGCCCTCTTCAGGGTTGAGAAAGAGAAACAAGTGAGTGGTACTTCTGGCCTGGTAAACTTTCAGTAGTAAAAAAGAGAGGTGACTGTTTCACTTGTGATGTGGTTCTTCTGGGAAAAAATCCCGTGGTGATGATCATAGGGTTTCCTGAACTGGAGCTTAGGGGAGGATAAGAGGTAGAGTAGCCATATAAAAATAGTTGGTGAGTTTGACTTTTCTACCTGGTAAAGAAAATCTTGCTCTTTTTTGTTGTTTTTTTCGAGGTACTGGGGATGGAACCCAGAGACTGTGCTTGCTAGGCAAGCATTCTCTTACTCAGCTTATATCCCCAGTGCTTTTGTTTTAGGCAGGGGGGCTGCTGGGTATTTAACCTAGGAGCATTTTACCACTGAGGTATATCCCCAGACCTTGTTTATGTTTTTGTTTTGAGATAGGGTCTCACTAATTTGCTGAGGGCTTCCCTCATTTGTGATCCTTCTGTCTCAGCCTCCCGGGTTGCTGAGGTTACAGGTGTGCGCCACTGTGCCTGGCTTTTATTTATTTATTTATTTAGTCTGTGGACAGCCACCCTGTGTTGCTTGTCTTTGACTGCTTTGCAGATGGCTTCATTTTGGAGTGGGTGGATGAATGGGAGGACCCATTTCAAGCCAGTCTCTTGATATAAGAGTTCTATGCTCTCTTTTATAGGGTACTTTTTAGAGAAGTTAATGATTTTTCAACCAAGTTTGGTGCTCTAGTAAATAATGTGAGACTCTCTTTGACAATTTGTCATGGTCTGCCCTCTTGAAGCAACGTGGTGGCTGGGAAAACTTGCCCGTGGGTGTGCCGCCAGTAACTTGTTGAGTAGAGTGGCAGAAGCGTTGTGTGAAACTGCTGAGGTTGGCGCTGACATTGAGATGATGCGACTAAGAGATGAAGTCACATTGATTGAGGTCCATGGTTCATAACTTTGAGGAGCAAAACGTTTTTTCCTAGATTGGGATCCTCTGGTGTCCTACGACCCAAGAGTCAGATCAGGAAATCAGTGAGTGATGAATGGAGATTTTGAAGGAATGAAGAGGTGGCATGGAGTTGGGAGGGCAGCAACAGAGATGCAACTGGAAAATGAAGAAATAAATACTTGAGCTGGGGATGTATCTCAGAGATAGAGCACTTGCCCAGCGTGTGTGGAGCCCTGGTTCAATCTCTAGCACCACACAAAAAAGAAAGAAATATTTAAGAAAAGGAGCTGGGTGCCGAGGCACACACTTATAATCCCAGCAGCTCTGGAGGCTAAGGCAGGAGGATCCCAAGTTCAAGGTCCTATAAAAAAATAGAAAGGGTTGGGGATATAGTTCAGTGATAAGTGCCCCTGCATTCAATCCCCAGTGCCAAAAAAAAAAAAAAAGAAGAAGAAGAAAAGGAATCCTCTGTTTCTCTTTGTCTTTCTCAAATCTTCATGTAGTCTCTCTTTCCATTCCTGTCATCTAGTTAGCCATTGTTCCTTCTGCTAAAATTATTATGATAGCTTCTGGATTCCCTTCTTCTTACCTGGAATGCATTTCTCTCTGTCCACTCAAATCCTATCCATCTTCTAAGTTCTTCTTCTTGGAGGACTTTTATGATAGTTTTCTGCACATGCAAACCACTCCATCTCGGTGTTGGTCAAAGCCACCTCTACCAAGCCTCTGTTGGCAGCTGTCCACGTGCTGGGCTAGGTGCTCTCTGCTGCAGGTTCAGTCCCTCATTTCACCTGGCTGGAGACTCTGGGAGAAAAAACTTTGTTCCCCGCTCCATTTTGTATATTTAACTGAGGCACAGAGAGGTGAATCCTAGGGACAGAGTTAGATTCTGGGGTACTGCCGGGCCCTGCCCTTCAGGCCTCCCAGCAGGGGTCATTTGTTCGCACTCTTCTGGCCAACTTCTCCTTTGGGTTGGTCTTTCTGGCTTCAGCTTATTAATTTTTTCCATGGCAGAGACTATGAGCTATTCATCTTTGTAGCTTCCATAATACCTTCCACATAGTAGGTTCATGTGTTGATGGAGTGAAGGAGTTAAGGGTAAAAACACAAATAATTTGGGTCAGGGAGTAACCTGACCTGGAGCAGCCAATAGAATATTGGAAGATGTTCTTTCAGTGGCTTAAATTTTGTGGGCAGTCTTGAACAAGATGATCTTAATGTTGGTTAACTAGTTGTCTTAAGTCTGGAAATCAAGGGGAGTGTGAACAAGAGTGTTAACTGGCCTTGTGTTTTCTGTCAGGATTTTCACAGGGTAGGGAGTCTGTGCAGCTAGATACCAGACCCTGTCTCTGGTGGGTAGTGGGTGCTTACAAGTGTAGGGAGGAGGGGGGGGTCCTGGTCCTGGCTCTTATATAGAAATGATACCATGATCTGGGCAAGTTGTCTTCCTTCCTGAAATTTGGGTCAGGGGTTTTTGATCTCAGAGCCCCGCCCAGGCTGCCAGGCCTGGAACGAACCAGGGACTAGGGAGGGAATTCAAACTATCCTTAAATTTGTGTTTGTTTGTTTTTTTTTTTTGGTACTGGGGATTGAACTCAGGGGCCCTTAACCACCGAGCCACATCCCAGCCCTATTTTGTATTTTATTTAGAAATAGGGTCTCACTGAGTTGCTTAGCGCCTCACAGTTGCTGAGGCTGGCTTTGAACTTGCGATTCTCCTGTCTCAGCTTCCCAAGCCACTGGGATTACGGGCGCACCACGCCTGGCAACTTTGTGAGTTTTTTAGTCACTATTTTCTCCCTCACACCTGGTCACTTGCTTCTCTTGATTCGTTCTTTTTAAGCCCAAGAGTCTTGATGTTGACCACAAATTATGTGGAGCTCTGGGGACTCAGGATCCAAAGTGGACTTTTCTGAGAATTGGCTTGTCTGAAATGAAGCGCGTACCTGTGGCTGCAGCAGGAGGGTCACCAGCCCCCTGGTGTGGTTTCTTTGCAGCTCCCCTCAGGCTGGAGTAACACTTCCCATCCTGTTGAGGAGAGCTCTTGGGGTCCCAGAGGGGGTTCCCTCTGGGGCTCCCTTCCACACTCATCTGGCCCTGTGCTTCTGAAGAAGCTGCATGAGTGTCTCATGTGGGCCCAGGGCTGTCCTAGCCGCCTTTTCCACTTGTCCCTCCTCCAGGGTGGGTCTGTGGGGTTAGTGTCTCCCACTTCCAGCAGTTCTTCTCCTCCTTGTGGTACCTAGTTTTGTGTTTTCCTTTGGGAGGCAAAAGATGATTGGCGTAGGTTAGCCGGGTCGTGGTCTTTGAGCTGAAGGCACTGGAGAGCACTGACGGGCTCTGTCTGCTGTACTTTTCATGACCCACTGTGACACACTTGATGGTGGTTGTGGCCTCCCAGCTGCCCTGATGGTTGGATTTTATTATTAAGTTTCATCTCCGCTTTACAGATGAAGAAACTGAGGCCTGGAGTTTCTGTGGCTAGTCCAAGAGCAGATGGGAAGTCTAGGAAGTAGTAGCAGAGCTGAGACTAAAAGTTTCCCGTCCTTTTTGTCATTGTTGTTTTTGAGACAGGGCCTTGAACTTGGGATCCTCCTGTCTCAGTCTCCCGGATCACTGGGATTACATGCCTGCGCCATCATACCCATCTTTTACTTTCCGCCTTTCACTGTTTGACAACACTCAATTACAGTGAATCCCTGCAGAGCATAGGGAGGGTGTTTGCTTTGGGCCCAGAAGGTGCCTGGTACCTGCTTGGTGTCCCCATGTGTTCACTGAAGACATGAATTTAACAGAATTAAATGAA